CACACATATATATAATATATAGTATATATATATATATATATATATATATATATATATATATATATAGGTTCTTAAGTGTCAACACTTGTTCTATTTTTGTACAATCTGCGTTGTGCACATCTGTTCTGTGCATTCATTATTTTGAGTGCCACATATGCGCACTTTATGCTGTTGCCTAATGTGTGATGCATGTGTATCGTTAGGTGTTATAAACTGCTGAGAGTTACATTTTGGGCATCTGGAGTTTTCTTCTCAATTGCATTGCGTTTGCGTGGTGTATGTCACGTGTTTGTGATATATATTCAGTACTTCGTGTAGTACGTAAGAGTGAGATGTCGTGTCTGACGTAGAGTGCATACACTTAAGTCTTGTATTCACAATACATTGTATGTAAAGGGTGCTTTGTACGCACACGCAATTAGGGACACGCCTGCGAAAGATCTGAGTGAGTACGGTGTGTGGTACTCATGTGTGGATGATTTATGTAATGTTCGGTGCGTGCTAGCTCGCCGTGTGTTCACCTAGTGTCAAGTGCTGGCAGCACATATCAACAGATAGCAACAGCATGCATTCGTGTGCATGCGCTAGACACGTATATACAAATGCTCGTTCGCTCTCACGGCGCACCTTTATCAAACCAATACTCACTCACACCGTTGCCGCACACTCCTTCCAGACCTTCCGCGACAACATCGTGGACTACATTTTGGAGCCGTACTATAGTGGGTCACGGACACACCCCCACAGTGCCACAAAAGGCGAACACACCAACCACTTCAGAGTGAATACTGTGAACTCGTTCTTCGCGCACAAGCACACGCTGTGCCAGCGCATTGGTTGGAGCACATGTGTTAGTCAGATTGTGTGCTCAGCCGTCTTTCTGCGCTGTGAGTTTCCGGTCCTCGACTGCCGCAACCGGTATGTTTATAACTGGACGTTATGCATTTAAGTGCCGCAACCAGTATGTTCATAAGTAGACATTCTATACTGAGATTCCGCAATTAATTTGTTTATAGATTGACTTGTATTTAGGAGCTGTAATCAATGCACTGTGATCAATCCATAAAGAGCTGAATTTGAAGGTGTCACGCTACAGTCTATTGTCTTTACAGGAGTAAGATTACACGCTGGGCACATCTAGCGCAACTAAACAGATACTGACTTGGATTAACTTGTTTGATAATATTTCGGGTGTCAAGCTACATCCAGACTAGTACGATGTGTTGTGATTTTGCAGAACAATGCAGGACTGCCATGGTGGTAACAATAGTGTCTAGTAATTCGTGAATAGTGATGTTAAATATAATACTTAAATTTACGCACACATATTCACACACACATATATATACGTCTACATATACATCCCGCATAGCACTGTGCGTAATCCGGACCGGTCCGTCTGCTGGACTGCGCGTGTACCGCAACACTTCCCGTCGCTCAGCTACGAATATCGGAAGCCTCTGGCACCCTGTGCGAAGGTGCCACAGTCACCAGTACATCGCAAAGTACTCCCACCACCACCACCACCACCACCACCACAGTTGCCAGTTGCTGCCGATGCTCTCCGGGTGTGTTCTATGTATTTAATATGTGCGTTCTTGTGAACATACTATACACCACTGTGCACCAATGTATACACAACACTTTTTGCTTCTTGATGCAACATCATGTATATACAATCGTGTGTTGTTTGGCCCCCTTACTAGCTTGAAGGTGCTTCTCAGGTGCTTGTTGTTTTGTATGCATTTGATACGGCCCTTGGCACAGAAAATATGTCAGAACCACTACTTCCGTCTGTGTAGACAGCTACAGTAGCACATCAGTAAGGAATCATCTGTGATATACACATTGTTCGTATTGTATGCCTATCAGTCTGGTCATACATATGTCATATATTTCTTGACCAACTTCTGTTGCTTAGTGATATACGTGTCTAGATTCGATACAGTGGTGCACCTCAAAGGTAGCCACAATGATATAGCTGTAGCTAGTGAATTGCATAGATTGCCAAATTGACACACTACAAAATATTTTGGGTACAAACTCGGCCGCTGTACTTCTGCCACGATTTCGGGATATCCTCTTTCCAGAATTCATTCTTCACTCAATCTTGAGTCTATCGTCTCAAATCATTAATACACAATCCTATATTTTGAGCCTTAACTATGTCATCTATTAATGATGTCATCTATTTATATAATCAATAGGACGAAGCGAATGACAGCCATCGAAAGCGCAAACAAAACGACATATCAGACGATGTAGAGACAACTGATGCTGGCTCCCGAAAGAGGGCGCACATTGTATTGTTCAAATATGTGAACGAAAATCGCAGTGCGAACGCAAGGATCTGTCACAAGACCACACATGAATCTGAAGACAAAACAGTTCAGGTGCGTGTATATATGGAGTGTATATAAGGACTCCTGTATGTGTGTATGCGTATTTTTGTCTATCCCAATTGGAATATAAAATGTAGTGCAGTAAAATATATATATATGTGTGTGTGTGTATATATATTTCCTGTGTGACCTTGTTGCACATTACAATTCGTAGATAAAGTCACATTCATTAAGTAGCAATGCCCCCACAGCTTGCGCCTCAGGAAAGGGAAGCGATCCAAATTGCGGACAAGAGTTCCAAAGTTCTTGAAACAGCAGAAATCGCACAGAAGGCGGTCGCAATCCAATCACGTATACACGCTCGTAAGCGTGCACACAATACCGATGAGAAGGAGCCATCCCAACACACTGCTAACAAACACGCACGAATCGACCGAGATACGGCTGAAAGTGCACAACAAATGGCCCGAGAACGTGTATCAGAAATCGATCAGGAAATTGGTGCGCTTGAACGTACGCAGGGCATACACGAAGAAAGATCGGTACAGAACATACGTGTCAAGGTAGTACCTACAGACGCTATGAAGTTGAAGGCGAAGTTGGCGAGACCCGAGATATATGCTGTTAATAAACACACTGGAGATATCGCACAGGAGCATAGATACGACTCAGGCACGGATGGTGAGGGTGACGCAGAAGCACGCGATCAAATGGTACCGGATTGCTTGGGTGGGATGCTAAGTCGTCACGATAAGGTATTGTTAGTACAAGGGATGAGTTTGTTGCTACATATAACTTGGTGATACGTGTGCAGCAAGAGAGGTGTATCTGGATTTCAATATAGTTCTTCAAAGATAGCTAGACCGTTGTCGATGTTTCGTGCTGTGCGTTTCTGCTCGTTTTATTGGGAATCATCGCCCGACCACTCAGAGCTTATCCTTCGGATATGTGCGAAGTCTAATAGTTTCTGATGGTTGCTATTATCAACGCAGATGAGCAACGATACAGTCGAGGTGTAGATAACGCCAAACAAATTAGATATGATGCCGAGTTTTGGTGACAGAGTGACGATACTAGGGCACCAACACACACAGAGGAACATGCCAAACGACCCTCAAAGATTGCGATTGTCTGAGGAGATCCACACACATGCACCCAAGGATGTGGGTGTGGACGCGAGTGGGGGTGCAAGCATACATAAGCGTGTACTAGCCAGTGTTAGTTGTCACCCGGCGATCGCCTATATATGGAGAATATTAAGAAATGTAATGCTACGATTACATCTGACTACACGACGATACATTGAGGCTCAACAGAAGACTCTAACCCAAACCCTGACAAGCAAGTGACTTCGACAGCCAATACCGCGTAGTAATGCGGAAAGCAATAAATGATGAAACTGATGCGTGTAGCGATCCATAGTAGTTCAGCATAATA